CGCATTGAGGGTAAAACACGAACTGAGTTTACTGTGGGCTACCTGCCCGTATTTATGCAGGTCTCCCACTTGGTGGACACTCCCCTTGGGGACCAAATGGGAGACTGGAATAGCAGATGGACATGGGGACATTTCAGACATACAATCCCACAATATTCCCAGCATGCATCACAGTTTCCTCCCCTCTGCTCGGGAGATAATTGAGAAGTAATTCAATTATCTCCCAGATCAGAGGCAAATCGCCATTTTAAATACAAGTCACAAAACACATAAAAATATATAACTTTATAACTGCCAAACATATTACATTCGTGTAACACATCCCCAGATAGCCTGGATCTGAGTGCATATTATTGGTGAATAGTGCTCAGATCCCATACGCACAGGTCAATCGCCATGGAGTCAAAGTCTATTACAGTTGTTCGGTATGCGATTGACTCCATGGGAAGGCTATCTGGGGTAAGTCCATTCGTGCCTTTACATCTCCCGAACGGCCGGTGTTCGCACACTTCTGTCGATTGAGAAGGGAGGTCGACGGCTTCAGCGGTGTTCTGTTGAAAAAGTGTCCGTTTTCAGTTCCATGAAATAACCGTCGAACACCGCTGGTCTTTCACATGGTTAAAATGGCCGCCGCCTCGTGGTCGACAAACGAACGACGACCACCCTGTATTCGGTTTTAATTGAGAAGTGTCTGAGGTTAACCGCAACTTTCTAATTGGGATCAATAGGTTAACCAGCAGCACACTTCTCTTCTGGGTGGCCGTCCGTTCGGCAGTTTTGTTCAACAGAAAAGTACATTCCCTTAAACAAGGCATACGAAAGGGTAAATTCATGCAAACGGCAAAACAGATGAACACAGCAATCCTAGTTCATACGGATGGGTCTGTCACAGTCTGTATGTAAGTATGTCTGTATGTATGCATGTATGCATGTCAGTATGTCTGTATGAATGTATATATGTATGTATGCCAGTATGAATGTATGTATGTCTGTATGTCATTATGAATGTATGTCTGTGTATGTATGTATGTATTTATGTCGGTGTCTCTATATATGTCAGTGTGTATGTATGTATGTGTCTGTATGTATGTTAGTATGTGTCTCTGTCACTATGTATGCCTGTGTGTCTGTATATGTGTGTATGTCTCAGTATGTGTGTGTTAGTATGTATGCCTATATGCGTGTATGTCTGTTTCAGTATGTGTGTCTGTTAGTATGTATCTGTGTGTGTGTATCTGTGTCCTTTTGTATCAGTGTGTGTGTTTGTGTCTGTGTGTGTGTATTCCTGTGGGCGGGATTTGGAGGCGGACCTTATGGGCGGGCCCCAGGGCCCCAGGGAGCCCAGACCCTAAGCTGAGTTAGGGGCCCAATAATTTCTGGTGGCGGCCCTGGTTGTCAATACCAATGTATTCAAATAGATTCCAACATAACAAAGTGCGGTTAGAACAATGATTACACACTATTTGCAGTTGTATGTAATTGTCTAAAAAAGAGAAAAAAAAAAAATGTAAACTTATCCTGTGTACTACTACTTGCACCCATACAATAAAGTAGTAGTACACAGGATATAACGTACACACAATGGGTGTGGATATAAGTATTTACTGTCAATTTGTGTGTATCAAAGGAAATTACGCATTTAAAAAATATCACAATGGTACTAGTGTCAACAGGTGTCATAATAATAACCAAAGTGATACAAATTCTCAAAATCGTGATGAAAAATTATCTCTGTGATCAAAATGTTTTATTATTCCGTATTTAAAAAACCACCTATCATAAATATATTGAATACCATTTTTCTAACTAGTTTTGACTTCCTATCATTTTTCTGTGGCCATGGAGGGTGGCTTCAGTCAGATCAGACACTGAATGTCTTCTTTGTTGGACAGTGGAATGATGAGATGCAATCAGTGCAGCTTCGTCAACAGGATAGTCGGGCGGGTGGGTAAATGCAATGAGAATTGTAAGGAACCATGGTTTACCATGGAGTACAGTGCAGTGCATCTTGTACGTGTGCATTAGCTCACCCATGATTACACAAATTACCATACAATAATGAATGCAAGCATTATGGCTCAAATGAGTGTAGTGCAAGAACATGTTGTTTCTTCCAAAATGTGTGTCCTTTAAGGTGCCTATGTTGAACAAAGTGGTTCTGTAAGCAAAATGATATACTATTGCTGTAGAGGATATTAGAAGAATGGCATAGATCTATATACCTATGCAGGCTACCTGACCTTACCTTTCAATATATAAATAAAAAAAAAAATAATTATATAATGTTTGCACAAAAATATAAATAATTGAATAAAGGTATTTTTATGTCTTCTTGTTAAAATGTAATGCTTTGAAAAACTAGCAGAAAACCAACTTTAAAATTCTTGTTCTTAAGTAAAACATATGATTTTAACAATTACACCATCATGACTTTGGGAATCATACCCTTTTCTTCCCAGAGTGCTTGCTATATTCATGATGTATGGGTTGACCCAGCAGCTAGCTGGAAAGGTCTGGGGTACCTATGTGCTGACATGCAACTTGGCACCAATGTTCACATAGACAAGAGAGCATTCTTCGTTTTGTTTTAGATTTCTTCTCCCTTTCTTTCAATATGCAACTTTTTACTTCCTCATACATACTAAAATAGACAGTCAGAAACCTGCAAAGACTGATACTTAAAACACTTCTCTTTCGGCTTTTACCTGCTTCCTGAACTTACTGGAATCACTTAAAGAAAAATTAAGTCATAAGTATTAACTTTTTATGTTAACTGTTTATATTTTAGTTTTAGCTTTTTGTCAGTAATTTTTTGTGTTTTTTATGAGTTAGAACACACAATGCAATGCGAATGTACATGTAGTATACACCATTATCATGCACAAATATCATCAAATGCCACAGAAAAGCCTCTTCCCGCCTCCAAGTAGTGTGAGACACTAATTATTTAAGTGCCCAGAAGTGATGTTAGGATAAGGTATCTTAATTGGTAAGGACCGGTCTAACCCACACTGGTCCAAATGTTTGGGGAGGACTGAGATGAAATATAACTGGTGCCCAGGCAAACTCTGTCCAGCAGGTCAGTTGCTACTCCAGGTTAATTCTGCAGCTACAGCTAATAAATAAGCAGAGACATCATTAAAAGGTGCCCAGATATCTCAGTACTCGTTGAGAGGTTGTTACTGGTCTCTGAGAAGATGAAAACTTGTTTAAAATGCAAGAATTTAGATGTAGGAGTTAGGAAGGAGCTCTCATTATCTGCCTCCATGCAGTATGATGGACAGGCCCTGTCCCCAATAATTTAAAAAAGTGAGCACATCATTTTATCCAGGTGTTATTAGTATTTCATGCACTGAATCATTAGTTATTTATTTAGCACTGGTATTCCTTGGTTGGACAAAAAAAAACAAAAAAACATAACCATCTATGATAGTGTTTTATTGATAATAAACAAAGAATTTTGTTATAACACCATTGATCAGAGGCGTAACTAGAAACCACTGGGTCCTGGTGTGAAAATTGCCCTGTCCCTCCATGTGTCTCATTCCTCCCCAGCCCCTCCATGTGTATCATTTCCCCACCCCAACCGCACCCCCCAGCCATTCTATGTGTCTCATCCCTTCAGCCCCTCCACGTGTCTCATTCTCACCCCCAACCTCTCCATGTGTCTCACCCTACCCAGCCCATTAATGTGTCTCAATCTCCCCCAGCCCCTCCATGTGTCTCAATGTCCCACCAAAGCACCTTTATGTGTCTTATGTCTCCATTTCTCCCAACCATTCGATCTGTCCCATTCTTCGCCCCAGCCCCTTCATGTGCACCATTGTACCCCCAGCCCCTCCATGAGTCTCATTCTCCCGCAGTCCCTCCATGTGTTTCATTCTCTCTCCCAGCCACTCAATGTGTCTATTTTATAATCACTATGTCTCTAGCATTTCAGGAGCATACAAACGAATGGGTATACAAAATACAAGGCGTTCATTACAAGGGCTTAATAACTATTGTTCCCCCTTGTAGGGGTATTGGTTTTATTATTTTGTCTTTATTGTATTCTATTATCTGGCTAATCCCCTTTAGTCTTCATTTTTGGTCTCTTGTTCATTTCTAAAATTCTTTTATCTTTAATGGTAGAAGATGAATCTGAGCCAAAGATATAGTTTCAAGGTTTAGATTTGAACAGTGCGAAGTTTGGGGCTGCACCATGGGAGACAAAATGATGGCAGAAGTATAGAAAAAAAAAGTTTTAAACAGGTCACAAGTAAATCCAGATATAACCCTTATGTTCCCATATTTTTTTTTTATATTCTTTATGTCTGCGTGCATAAAGAAAATAAACAGTTACATTTGCTTTTCCAGTGCCCCAACGGCATTTGCATTCACTAATCGCTATAATAACAGACAGTAACTTATCAGGGCATAGCAATGAAAACACAATGCACATTTTTGTATTGGAGCCTGAAGTGTAAGCTTAAGCATGAGGACAGTGCTAGTGAGGGGTTGACTATTGCGACATGAGCGTGAGAACTATAGGCACTGTGATTGAGAAGTGTTTCTCCCGGGAGGGCCCCCAGGTAGATCAGGTTTTGAGTCCCGCTGTGGTAATAAAGAAAAGGGAACATGCTAATGCATTGGGTTAAACATGGGTTAATCTGGGCACATGATGTGGGTACCGAGGATGCACTGCTGGGGTACCATGGTACTTGTGCTCAGTCCTGAGGCCATCCAATGCCATGCTGGCTTACTCCGCTTCCCTGCCCAGAGATTCTTGCTGTTGAACCCTGGTGCCTTCCCGGGTAGGGACCCGTATACATGAGTCGAAGGTAAGGCATTGCTATGGAGGCGCGGAAGCCTCTCATGTGTTGTCTCAGAATCCAGCTTGAGTTGTGAGGTAGGCTCTTTGGGGTGGCTCGGTCAGGTTGTGGCAGGTTAGTTGTTGTGTTGTTTACCGCCTTTCTCGTGCTGGGATGTCTGGCAGTGTTTCGATGGGCAGCGTGTGAACATCACGAGCAGAGTTGTGTGGTCCGCCATTTTCGAGCCCTCTGTATCTTGGGCACCGTGGGTTTGCCACTGGATTGTGGAGGTGGCTTGCGAGGTGGGTGTTCTGTCGTGTCTGGCATCTGAACCTGTTGTTGCCTAAGTTCCAGTTTTTTCCAGAAGGCAATAAACAGGCTATTCAGGTTAGCTTCAAGGTCCCAGCTTATATGAGAGCATGTGGCGTCCGCCATTTTCCGCTTCTCTATGGCTGGATGGTGCTCATTCAATGCCTGCTCGTGTGTCTTGTGGAGCAGGGTTGCCTACCTGGAGTGGACCGGGATCACCCCTGCTGGTCCCTGGGGGGGAGAGCTAGGCTGTCGATGAGTTCGCACTGCTAGTGTCAGGATGAGACGAGCTTTCCCTATCTCCGCCATCCGCAGGCCGCGGTTAGCCATGTCGGGCTCCCGATGTCGGAATCGCTCGAGTCAGGTATCAGGGGGTACACCAGCTCCACCCTATCTTAGGTAGAGCAGTTTGGTGTGTGGTCAAGCTGTGCAATTCGATTTGCGTCGGGAAATCCGCTGAGAATAGTGGGAGCCCTCTAGACATGCGACTGTTCATTTTGCAGGTCAGGCTCCGCGACCGTGTTCCCATATTTTTAGGTCGAAAATTAATTGTTGCATTGTGTTGAGAAAAAAGGAAGTGATTTGGTGGAGCAAATTTTGGTACCCCAAGATTTTGTAACATTGTGTTACATCTCGCTCATAGCCATATTTCAGGGGTTCACCTCGGGGCTGACAAATCAATAGATAGGCTAGTAAGGGGGTTCTACTGGCCAGGAGTATATGCTGCAGTGAATAACTATTGATCCTCATGCTCTAAATGTCAACTAAAAGCTCCTACTAAAGCCTTTCACAAGTCTCTTGTGTATGACCTATAATTGATGCTCCCTTTAAAATGTAAAACGTTCGTCAGGTCCACTGCCTCCTGGGTAGTACTTATTGCAGACAACCTATATATACAGTGAAGTAAAAGTTGTAATTTTGTGTCATTGATAAAGCCATCACAGGCGAAATGCGTTTGAACAAAGTTGCTCTTTTCAATAGATTTTTACACTATCCCTGCCAGAGTAAATTTAATGATGTTTCACTACAAACAGTGTCAGAAGCTGTCCAGAAGCTATTGAGGGGGCCTGATTGCCTATTACACACGAGACAGTAGACATTTAAACAGGGGAGTTAAACCACTTTTTTTAATCTATTTGGATTATTTTTACATATTTGGATTATTTTCAATTATTAATCCTACATTTTGTGAAGGTTTTTGTCAAGTTTTTATATTTGTTTTATTCCTGCATATACACTTTTTTTTAAATATTTTTAAGATGCATTATCAATAAATTATTTAATTAATTAAATTTAAATGTTGTATTGACTGGTCACTTGTTCATTATCTCACAAAATAAAGGGCATTAGTGTTAAGTGTTAAGAGCTATTTCTAGAGGGGTGGTGCACCCCTTTCTTAGGTTTTATAAATTGTGTTATAAGACTACCATATTATGTTGTGTATAACCCGGCCTAGATGAATGTGCTAAGATATTGTGCTAAAATTGTGAGGGTTGACTCACAATATATAAAGCAATACAGCAAGCTAAATGTCTTAGTGGCCAGGAGTGTCCTTTTAAGAGTCATAAAAAGTTCATAAACCATATAGCAGTAAGAATTAATTTTAGGTGTCTTTATATATGTAGTAATGCAGATTTTTGGTTACATTTTCTTGAACCTGTATTACAAATACAGGTTTTAATGTTCTAAGGTTTTCATTGAATTCCCCTGACATAAATTATAATAAATAACAATCTGACATAGAAATGGATTTGATATTATATTTCCCCCAGGCAAATGCATGAGCCCATTTGGGGAAAATAAATATAGAATAAACATCAATATATTGATCAATATAAACTATATTCTTTACTATTCTGTATCTTGCAACATAGACTAATTAGAACGTAAGCATTCATAACAGCACATAACATGCTAACCTTTCTTAAATCACCCCATGGTGGATGTAAAAATATAGATTAACAAAGTAAAAGTAAACCCTGTCTCCCAAAGGCTACAAGAAAACCAGTAACGCCTGGTCTTCAGGAATATGTAATCTGTTTTGTGTACTTTTCATTTTTTAAATATATGTATTTTTTTTATTTTATGTGCACTCTATTTCATGATAAGAACTTGAGGCCATAAGGAGCAAGGTAAATTTAAATATCTATTTAAATTACCAGCTATTAAACCATGGCTTAAAAAAGTATGTCTAACTTGCCAATACCATTGGTACCCAGACATATAGAGATAGAAAGTTAGTGTTTGTGTATTTTGATATTTTGCTAAACCACAAGCACTTACAATTAACACAAAAGTATAGGTAGGTGCTAATTTCTGCACTGGGATAACAGTTCAAGCTTGTGAATTGCAATTACAGAACAGGGATTTCATAATTCCTAATTAGATCTTTGTTTAGGTAAAACTAACCAATTAAATTTTTGAATAATTATACATTGTTCATTTTTTTTTATTAATTCATTGTTTACATAAAGTATACATTGCAAACTTGCTAAATTTCTGATACTATCTTAGATTTTAACAAAGAAGTAAAAACTATTTTTTATCACATGTTGTAGATATAACTAAAATTTATATATTTTTTTTTAAATAGCAATCAGAATCCCTCCTCACGTATATTTATAAGTGATCTGATGGCCTTTTGGGAACTGTGGCTTCCTACAAACCTTGAATGTAACATTGAGCATACTACTCTCAATCAGTACACTAACCCACAAATACCTTCAGTTTTGATTAAAGAGTTTAATACACTTTTGACTTGCAATAAAGTTCCAGGAATAAAAATACTGAAATTATACTGTTCTGCTTATTTAATTAGGACATTATTTGAGAATAAATTCTCCTGATAAAGTTCTTCCTATTTTAAGTTAACAACTGTGCTCACCTTTTTTTTATATAATTCTTTATTTTTGGAGTGCAATTGTGATTGACAGAAACGTCTTGTGCCTCCAGAAAGCTGTCAAAGAGTGTTTCCAGGCCTCGTGTTTGTGAAGCGTGGAAGGCCCCAGTTTTCCGTTTTTACTTTGCCTTGGGGTGAATGTGAAAGGCATCGGTCAACGCAGCTTGTCGCCAGGGCCGGACTGGCCCAACGGGATACCGGGAAATTTCCCGGTGGGCCGCAGCACCTGGGGCTGGGCTGACAGCCCTAATCATTGCTCAGGCTCCTGTGATCCTGGCCTGCTATGTGTGAGCTGGGGGAGCCAGGCGGCCAGCACAGCTCACACATGGCCGGCCGGGATCATAAAAAAAAAATTTGCGGCGGGGGCGGAGCTAGCGTGCGACAGGGGCGTGGCTTAGCGTACGACGGGGCTTAAAGTGCGGCGGGGGCCAGGCTAACAGCATGGGAAGCAGGAAGGAGTCCCTGCTTCCCCAACAACCAGCCTCCAGGAGCTCCAAGCAGGAGGTAAGAAGCAGGTCAGTGTGTCTTTGTGTAACTTCCTGTGAGTGTGTGACTGTGTGTGTGACTATCTGTGTGTCTGTGTGTGTGTGTGACTGTCTGTGACTGTGTGTGTGACTGTGTGTGTGTGACTGACTATCTGTGTGTGTGTCTGTTTGTGTGTGTGACTGTCTGTGAGTGTGTGACTGAGTATGTTACTGTGTGTGTGTCTGTTTGTGTGTGTGTGACTGTCTGTGAGTGTGTGACTGTGTGTGTGACTGTGTGTGTCACTGTCTGTGTGTCTGTCTGTTTGTGTGACTGACTGTCTGTGTGTGTGACTGCCTGTGTGTGTGTGTGTGTGTGTGTGTGACTGCCTGTGTGTGTGTGACTGTCTGTATGTGAGTTACTGTCTGCCTGTGTGTGTGTGTGACTGCCTGTTGTGTGTGTGGCTGGCTGCCTGTGTGTGTGGCTGTCTGCCTGTGTGTGTGGCTGTCTGCCTGTGTGTTTGACTGTCTGCCTGTGTGTGTGTGTGTGTGTGGCTGTCTGCCTGTCTTTGTATGTGTGGATGTTTTCCTCGTTGTCAGTGACTGTCTGCATCTGTGTGTGTGTGTGTGCGCATCTGCTAGTGAGGGAGCCTCTGTGTGTGTGTGTGTGTGTGCCTGCTAGTGAGTTTGTGTGTGTGTGTGTATGCCTGCTAGTGAGTGAGCTTGTATGTGTGTCAGTGAGCTTGTCTGTAGGGATAATATGTGTGTGTGTTAGTGAGCTTGTCTGTAAGGAGCATGGGTGTGTCGGAGCCTGTCTGTGGTGAGCATGTGTGTACAGTGAGCTTGTCTGTAGTAAGCATGAGTGTGATTGTGAGCTTGTCTGTAGTGACCATATGTGTGTCAGTGAGCTTGTCTGTAGTGAGCATGTGTGTGTCAGTGAGCTTATCTGTGGTGAATCTGTGTGTTAGTGAGCTCTTCTGTAGGGAGCATGTGTGTGTCAATGGGCTTGTCTGTAGGGAGAGTGTGTGCGCATCAGTGAGCTTGTCTGTAGTAAGCTTGTGTGTGTATCAGAGTTTGTCTGTACTAAATGTGTGTGTGTGCCAGTAACCTTGTCTGTGTGTGTCATTGAGATTGTCTGTCAATGAGCCTATTTGTGTGCATCAGTAAGATTGTCTGTGTCTGTGTTTGACTATGCTTTACTATATAATGTAATTACCCTAAAAGAACTAATATTTTGAATTAGAAGAAATGTATCAATAAAAAAAAAAAAGATATATATATATATATATATATATATATATATATATATATATATATATATATATATATATATATATATATATATATATATATATAAATACCGTATATACTCGAGTATAAGCCGACCCGAATATAAGCCGAGGCCCCTAATTTTACCCCCAAAAACTGGGAAAACGTATTGACTCGAGTATAAGACTAGGGTGGGAAATGCAGCAGCTACTGGTAAATTTCTAAATAAAATTAGATCCTAAAAAAATTATATTAATTGAATATTTATTTACAGTGTGTGTATATGATGAATGCAGTGTGTGTGTATGAATGCAGTGTGTGTATGAGTGCAGTGTGTGTATATGAGTGCAGTGTGTGTGTGTGATGCAGTGTGTGTGCATAAATGCAGTGTGGTATGAGTGCGCAGTGTGTGTGTATGAGTGCAGTGTGCGTGTATGAATGCAGTGTGTGTGCATAAATGCAGTGTGTGTATGAGTGCAGTGTGTGTGTATGAGTGCAGTGTGTGTATATGAGTGCAGTGTGTGTGTGTGTGTGTGTGATGCAGTGTGTGTGTGTGTGTGTGTGTGTGATGCAGTGTGTGTGTGTGTGTGTGTGTGGCAGAGCCTTGGTGGGGGGGGTGGGCATTTTTATAAAAAAAAAAAAATAATAATATAATAATTTAATTTTTTTTGTTAGATTATTTTTTTTTATTATTATTATTATTTATATATTATTAATTAATATTTTAATTTTTTTGTTATATTATTATTTTTTTTTATTATTATTATTATTATTAATATATTATTAATTTATTTATTTTGTTGTCCCCCCTCCCTGCTTGATACATGGCAGGGAGGGGGGCTCTCCTTCCCTGGTGGTCCATTGGCAGTTCAGTG